TCTGTCTCTCTATGGCGACCGGCCATGGCGGTCAGCCATTAACCTGTTCCTCTTCTTAGCCTCCCCCTTCTACCCGGCCTTATAATAAACTTATAGTCTTATGTCTGTCTCAGAAATTTCTCTTTTCTTCTTTTTAAACAAAACAATAACAGAGGCTATACCTGGCAGGATCTCAGAAGCATTCCCTACCTGGCAACTCACAGCCACCAAACTCTCGTAAGAAACAGAAGGGGCAACCAAAACCAAGAAGCAAAACAACCACCCAACAAAGACAAGACCAGATATCAGTACCTAGAATTACAATCACCCCAAACCCAGATGCCTAGCCCCTTGTGTAAAAACACAATCAATTATAGCCAACACAGTGTGTCTCCACTACAGGCCAGCAATCCTACCACAGCAGGCCCTGAATATTCCAACATAGCTGAAGCACAAGAAAAAGACCTTAAAATAGCCAGTGTAAATAACAGGAAAGCAACTATCATTGGTTGTTTATCTCTCTCAGTATCAATGGACTCAATTCCCCAATAAAAAGACACAGACTAACAGAGTGGATGTGAAAAAAGATTCATCTGATGCATGCAGGAAACACACCTCAACATCATGGATAGACATTACCTCAGGGTGAAGGTTGGAAAAAAATATTCCAAGCAAATGGACCTAAGAAGCAAGTTGGTATAGCCATTTTAATATCTGACAAAATTGACTTCAAAATAAAACTAATCAGAAGAGATAGGGAAGGAAAAATCCACTAAGAGGATGTTGAAATTCTTAACATCTGTACACCAAACACAAGGGTACTGTTGGGGGTATAACAGAAACACTAATATAACTTAAGTCACATACTGACCCTCACACGGTGATAATGACAAATATCTCATTCTTGCCAACACACAAGTCATCCAGACAGAAACTAAACAGAAAAATGAAGGCGCTGACACAATAAAACCAATGGGCCTAACAAATATTTACAGAATATATTTCCCAAACACAAAATAATATACCTTTTTCTTGGCAGCTCATGAGACTTTTTCAAAAATTGGCCAGATACTTAGAAAGAAAGCAAGTCCCAACAGATACAAGAAAATTGAAATAACACCTTCTATCCTATCTGAACCACTATGGATTAAAGCTGAACATCAATAGAAAAAAACAGAAACCTTACAAAGCCATGGAAACTAAACAACTCTCTATTGAATGAAAAATGGGTCTAGACAGAAATTAAGAAAAAAAACTTTTTGAATTGAATGAAAATGAAAACATACCCAGACTTATAGGACACGATGGAAGTGGTTCTAAGAGGCACATTCATTGCACTAAATGTCTACATTAAAAAGTTGAAGGGGCTAGGCAGTGGTGGCGCACACATTTAATCCCAGCACTCAGGAGGCAGAAGCAGGTGGATCTCTGTGAGTTTGAGACCAGCTTGGTCTTACAGAGTGAGTTCTAGGACAGCCAGGGATACATAGAGAAACCCTATCTTGAAAAAACAAAGCAAAATACCACCACCACCATAATAAATTAACACAGAAAAATCAGTAGCCTTCCTATGTACAAATGACAAATGGACTGCAGAAAAAAAAATCAGGGAAACAATACCTTTCACAATATCCTTAAATAAAATACAAAATATCTTGGGGTAACTTTAATCATGCAAGTAAAAGATTGTATGATTAAAAACTTTAAGATAGGGGCTGGAGAGATGGGTCAGTGGTCAAGAGCACTGGCTGCTCTTGTAGAGGCCCTGAGTTCAATTCCCAACCCCCACATGGCAGCTCACATCTGTCTATAACTCAGTTCCAGGGGATCTGACATCCTCACACCAATGCACATAAAATAAAGTTAAATAAATTAAAAAAACTTTAAGACACTGAAGAAATTGAAAGATGGAAAGATTCCTCATGCTCATTGATCAGTAGGATTAATATTGTGAAAATGGCCATCCTACCAAAAGTAATTTACAGATTCAATGCAATCCCATCAAAATTACAGCACAGTTCTTCACAGATCTTGAAAGGACAATTTTCAGCTTCATATGGAAACATTAAAAAAAAAAACAACAGGGTAGTTAAAACACTCCTAAATGATAAAAGAACTGCTGGCGATATCACCATCCCTGATATCAAGTTGCACTACAGATCTATAGTAATAAAGACAAAATAGTATTGATATAAAGACAGACATGTTGATCAGTGGTATAGAATTGAAGACCCAGAAATAAGTTCGTACACCTATGGACACCTGAAAGAAGCCAGAAATACACATTGGCTAAACGATGGCATCCTCAACAAATGGTGCTGGTCAAAATTGATATCTGTATGTAGAAGAATGCAAATAGACTTTCAACCTGCACTAAACTCAACTCTGGATGGATCAAAGGCCTCAATATAAAACCAGATACACTGAACCTGATAGAAGAGAAAGTGGGGGAATAACCTTGAACTCATTGGCCCAGGAGAAGACTTTTTGAATAGAACGCTGTTGGCATAGGTGCTAAGATCAATAATTATTCAATAGGATCTCATGAAGCTGAAAAGATATGGAGACAGCCTAGGTGTCCAACAGGTGACTGAATGAAGAAAATATTTTTTTTTTACATGCATAAGCTTTCTTCACCTGTAAGAAGAATGAACTTGTGATGTTTCCAGAAAGGGTGAAACTGCAGGCAATGCATGCTTTTTTCCTATGCATAATCCAGATTTCAATTCATACATGTGCATATATGTACATATTTATATATGGGACACGAGAGTAGACAGATTATAGTAATCTGGAAGGAAGAGTGAAAGAGGTGGGGAGCAATAGAATATATGTGCCATGGAAGGAAACAGAAAGGGGGAGTGTTTGTGGGGAAAAGGGCACAGCAAGAGGGGAGAGGGATTATATGGGAGGGCAGAGAAAAGGTATGAAAATGTTACAGTTAAACCCATTTCTTTGTATGCTCATTATGAAATTAATTTTTAAAACACAGAAAAAGTTGAAGTTCATGAAGTCAAGTGGCTTTCCAAAGTCCATAGAACAGACTTTCCAACCAGATACCCTGCCCCCAAACCAATAGTTGTGATGGTTGATTTTATGTCAACAATTGTATACCTTTAATAGATCAAATTTCTGCTTAAGTGCTTCCTTGAATGTATTTTTATATTATAGTAAAACTTAAATTAGTACTTGAATAAAGCCGGATATCCCCTACTATTTGAGTGCAGCCTCTTCTGAATAGTTGAAAGCCTTTAAAGACTGATGTCCTCTGAGGAAGAAGAAATTTTGCCTCTAAGTGGCCTTCAACTCTGACTCAAACATCAACTCTTCCCTGGTCTCCACCCAACCAGCCTGCATTTTCAGCTTGATATCCTACAACTGAATGAACACACTTGAGAGACTCTCCCCTCCCCCACTCTCTCTACATATAAATACAATTGATATATATCCTATTGGTTCTGTTTCTCCAGAGAGCTGGGTGCTACAGTTTGACCCAGTGTTGCCCATTCTGGTGGCTTGTTCTCACTGTGTTGAGATGGTGGGACCTTCATGAGGTGGTCTTAGTGGAGGGAGGTTACATCATCGGGGTACCACTCTTGGAAGGGTTTCACTCTGCTCTTTTTGACCTGTAAGTTCACTGTTAGAGAAGGGTCTGGTCCTGAATTCCTGGCTTCCTGTCCTGAATGTGATGTTCTCTCTTCTGTGTGATATCCCACTACTTTAACAACACTCACCATGAAGTCCTCACCAGAGTGAACACATAGGCTGTCCAGATCTTAGAGTTTCATCCTATAGAATCATGAGCTAAAGAAAACTCCCTTTACACGTCACTCCCTATGCACTAATTTTGTTTCTTTAACAGGACCCCAGACCTTAGCATGATTGACTCTGTGATGGGAGCACCATTCAGGCTGTGAACTCAGTGTATAGACAGCACCACCTGCCAAAATGAAAATAAAGACCTAATGCACTTAAGTCCATAGTTATGGGAAAGTCTCTAAATGTATTAACTTTGCTTTTTGGCCTCTGTAGCTCTGCTTCTGGCTAACTGTTCTTGTTAACTCAAGTATGTCAACTCAGGGCATGGTTTTTGTGCTTAAAAGCTTACCCCAAGAGAAAGACTCAGTGCCACACTGGGGGATCCCAAATACCCAGTATAGTCTCCAGCAGGGTAATAAAGACTTTCTCTTGGCTTAAACACATGTCTGAGCAGTCTCCTCTGGTGGGCTCCCCAGAACAGTTACCATAATTGAAATGAACTGAAACAAAAAGAAAAGCTGATATGAATGCTGTCTAGTGGTCACTAGACATGGGACCATGACAATTCATTTTATTTCTTCAGGTTTTAGTATCATTATTTCCAAAATAATGAGACCACATTGAACTAGGGTTTCTTAGCTTCAGTGATGATGTGGGTGGGTCTTTGCTGGGTAGACTAAGGGGGTGAGAGGCTTTACTATGAATTGCAGGCTGTTTGGTGGCACTGCTCGATTACTAAATGCCAGTAATAGTACCCAGATATGAAAGCCAAACGACTTTCAGACACTTCTAAACATCTTCTGGTGGTAGCAAGAGAACAAAATAACCTATGACCCTCTTTTTAAACAACACTATATGAAATCATCGTTGTTATAACATAAGCATAAAGAAATGTTCAGATAGAGACAGACAGCTTTGAGAATTTCAGGAGAGAAGTCTTAGGCCTTTCGATGGTACAGGAGTGATAGCCTAAGACTCTTCAGTCCTTAGAAATCAAACCTTAGCTCACGAAAGAAACAAATGAGAAGAACTAGGAAAGGATATAAAGACTGCATCTATGAGTTCTTAGCAATTCTCAAGGAAGCTGCTAGAGGGCACCCATGGGATGAGAACAGACAGTTTTCAAAAGGAGACAGGGATTTAGCTCTTCCTCTCAAAGAAAGGAAACTTAGCTGGAAAGTAGCTGTCTTTTCAAATCTTATCAACTAAGACAACCTGAGCTCTGTTCTGGGAGCCAGGCACAGCCACATGGAGATAATGGTTGCTGTTAGGCTCTGGGATGCCTAGGAATTATAGACATCTGAATCTCTCTGGTGATGAGAATGTCAGCAAAGTCATTGTATTAGTGTTCCCCAGAGGAACAAAACTGATAGAATGTGTGTACAGAGAGAGAGAGGGAGAGAGAGAGAGAGAGAGAGAGAGAGAGAGAGAGAGAGAGAGAGATATTAGAAATTAGAATTTCTAATTAGATTTACAGGCTGTGGTCCAGCTAAGAGAGAAATTAGAATGGTTTACAGGCTGTGGTCCAGCTAGTTCAATGGCTGTTCCATCTATGATGGTGGCTGGCTCAGCTGGTCTTTAGTATACACTGGAATCCCAAAAAAGTAGACTCTAATAATGCCAATAAAAAGACGACATGTCATTGAGAGTGAGGGCAAGCAGGCAAAGAGCTCCCTTCTTCCATGTCCTTTACATAGGCTGCCAGCAGAAGGTGTGGCCCTGATAATTGAGTGTTAGTTAATTCCAGATGTGGTCAAGTTTACAGCCAAGAATAGCCACCACAGTCATTTTCCTGAAGAATACTTTGTGTGTTGGGGTGTGAGGCAAGGCAGGGTTATGGTTTGCCTAAGTAAATGTGGCTCCTGTGAGTTAAATGACCCAGCAGAGAAAATTACAGAGGCATTCCAGTAGATGGTGCTGTGGCTAACTCAGCAAGCCAAAAACATCTGGTGTGATCCTTTCTCCCAGAAGCAAGCATCTTTTCCCAAGTCTTCAGGACATAATTTGAATGACTTCAAATGAAGGCTATCTCCTGCTGTAAACAAAGTTTCCATTCAAGTGCTGATTTCCAATTCTGACTCAAAATACACATTCCTTCCTAGTCTGAGCAACTTGGGAGCACACACACACACACACACACACACACACACACACACACACACACACACACACACACACCGGCCTAGGCAAAGGAGGCAAAAGAACAGATTTTCTTCATCGATAAACAGTCACTTATTTCAATTTTTTGAGACAAGGTCTTGCCTTAAAGCCCAGCATAGTATAGCACTATATAGCCCAGGCTAGCCTAAAACTTAAGAGCCTCCTGTTTGTTGGATTACAGGCACAAACCACTATGTCCTACTCCTTTGGTTTGATTTGAACTAATGCCGACCAAGGTGACTTAATCACACTATTATTCTCAAGCATAATCAGAACTGATCTAAAAATCTTCTAATGTTCATTTGCTTTGGTGGCTGCTATAGTCACCTATAGTCTGTTGTGTCTTTGCTTGTTAGTTTATGGTATTAAAACGTAATAGAGTAGGGCATAAAAATACCTTATGGAATTCTGAAATATAATAATGTGCTCCAAAAGAGAGCCATATGAATCTGAAGAGCTGGGTATGTAGCATTTAGAGGAAACTTGGTCATTATACACCAGGCCAGTGAGTTAAAGGTCTTGTCTCCTGGTTGGTGCTTTTGGGAGATGTTAGGAACTCTGGGAGTCTGGGCCTCATGGAAGCTCTCCTGATTATTGAGTCAATGCCTGACTTAAAAAAAAAAACCCACTAAATTATAACAACTGATTTTAATATCTACCAATACCTATCCCAATATCAGGGATGGTCAGGGAAAGAGACACTTTATGACAGAACTCAGCACTTCCCAAATTTCGATCCCTCCCCTGTCCTCCTCATACCCAAAAGGGCACCGAGTAGCATGTCACAGGCTACTAGTCCCCCCTAGCTGAGTGTCCACAGATAACAGCAGAACAGAGTTTGAAGAGCATGAACACTTGAAAGACATACCATTAGGAGCTACTTAATATCCTGAGAGTGAAGAGTTTTGCTCACATTTGGCTTCTTGGTGCAGTTATTCAGTTTTTGTCCTATCATCCTTCTGATTGAAATATCATCCGAGCTGGGAAATACTTGTTTGGTTATTCCTGTAAAAGATCACAGCAGCACACAAGAGCACTTTGTGAGGAGTTTTCGTCATGTGAACTGAGGCAAAATTTAGTTTTGTCTCAGATTTACAGAAGTAGCCCAATTGTCATGGCATATTTAAGCAGATGAATACACTCATGATTTGAAACCTAACAGACAGGCTAACAGACAAGCGATACTATAAACACGTCATGCATCCTTGTCTTCCTATGACATCATTCGGCTTTAAGTCTTCTACTTGCTATGAATTTCATGTTTTTTGCTCCAAGCTGTCATGGATTGATTTTTATTCATTTCTAACATTAGTCAAAACAAATTGATCTCTTGTTAACTAAGAAATGGTACACAAAGAGCTTGGTCAGAGACGCTCAAAACCAAAACAAAGCAAAAACTGGAAAAGGTAGATCATTGTTTTTAAGGCAGACTACTAATTTTAAAAGTATGTGGTTAAAGAGATCTCTTTCTAGAAACAAACAATACATGGAGGATATAATTAAGAAAGAGAAGATGACACAAATTGTAACTGAAATTTTAAAATAGTGACGTTGCTGTTTTCTGAAGCTTTGAATTTTATTAATTTAAACTTCTCAGTTATAGACACTTTCTCTTTCTTTCTTTCTTTCCTTTGAAAATAGGTCTCATGCAGCCTAGGCTGGCTGTTGACTTTGCTATGCAGCCAGAATGATATCGAATTCCTGGTCCTCCCACCTCCACCTCTCAAGTGTTGGAATGACAAGGATGCCCCATCATGCCTAGATTCAATGACCATTTTAATAATAATTAAAAAACCTGTCTTGTGAAAATATAATGCAATGAAATTATCACCTATGATTTCTTGAACTTCATTCTGATTCATAGCTGGTTTTACAACTTTGTCTCTTGAAGTAGAGGATTTTGCCCCAGTCAGACTGTGTGTGGCCATGTATTCATTTGTGTAAAGCACTTGCATTAAATCATTAATAAATTTCTGAGGCTTGCTCTTATTACAACGGGCAATCTGCCATTTTTCAATCTTGAACTAAAAAATAAAAAAAATGATAACTGAGATTAGAAAAAGAGATGATACCTGGAGAAATAAAAGTGCTAATTAAGACATACCACAAAACATCTGCACTCTTTAAGGTGGTATTTTGTAATTTAGTACGTATTTTACATTTTAGATAAAGGACTTAGTGATATTTGAAATGTTTGTTGGCTTTATGAGGTATTTGCTTGGAATATATGCAAATTTTTCTTGGGTCATCTAAACGTGATGCCTTAAGATCAACCCTATTTTATGTTTGGAGAATCATGGCTCTCAGAAGATGCCCCCTCCTAATCTCTGGTTCCTGTGGATACGTTACCCCACTGGAGATGTACAAATGTACATACAAATGTAGTGAAAGTTAAGCATTTTGAGATGGAAGATTATTCTGGATCAGACAGGTTGTCTCATGGAGTCCTTAAAAACAGATGATGGGGGTAGAAGAGGGGGCCAAAAAAAAAAAGATTGGGGGAAAGACGTGAAGGGAGAGGCTTGACTGTGAGATGGTGGATGGAGCCCTGAGCCCGGTGTGAAGTGAGATGGTGGATGGAGCCCTGAGCCCGGTGTGAAGTGAGATGGTGGATGGAGCCCTGAGCCCGGTGTGAAGTGAGATGGTGGATGGAGCCCTGAGCCCGGTGTGAAGTGAGATGGTGGATGGAGCCCTGAGCCTGGTGTGAAGTGAGATGGCGGATGGAGCCCTGAGCCTGGTGTGAAGTGACCTGAGCCTGGTG